GAACAACCTCCAAAGCCAACCTCTGTCCAGAGGAAAGACCAGAGGAGCAAAGTTCAGGCTCCCGCACAACTGCTTGAGCAACCACTTAAGTCTCCCAGTACCCCCTCAACACCAAGAAATGATGCTGCTGCAGCCAGAGCAAGGCCACAGAAGGCAGGGAAAGTGACGCTGACCAAGAGTCCCAAACAAGGCCCAACCAAGTCATAGTCTGGCCCGGAACCAATTGGAACTTCTGTCAGATCACCATAGACACCCAAAACAGCTGGGAGCCTACACCAGCCAGATGTCAAGTTAGACCCACACCACTTAGCTAACGACAGGAAACTAGAGCCAGAGTGGTCGGAGAGGGTGACCAGATACTTTCTATTAGCAAAAAACTGAGGGTGGAGCAGTCGGATGACCTGGTCTGACTCCCTCCTCCCACTCCAAACGAGGGAAAGGGTAGGGCAAACTAATTCACGCTAGTTTCATGAATTTCAATTGTTTACATTATTGGGGGAATTTATTTGAGTTTTGAGGCTCTAATATGGTGTTTAAGCATGTAATGGTCTGTTTCATTTTGTTGACTTTCTGGGTGCCTTCCCTTGGTGGCAGCAGACATGAATAAATTTTACATAAAATTGTTTATAGTGCCACTGCTCCCTGTGCCTCTTTGAGGGGGCCAGGTTCTGGCTCGTGGTCCCCAGTAGGTCAATAAGAACTCTGCAATCTGATGGCATCTAGTAGTTTGATACTATATCAGCATAGTAGCTTCAGGGAGCCACAAACGGGGTTTTCCCAGAAAAGCCAAGTTTAAATTCAAATAGAAATAACTAAGTTGGCCCATATTGGAAGAATGAAAAATCTGCGGACGACCTGAGAGACCCTAGCCCTGAAAACAGAGAACGAGGGGAACCGGATCAACCACAGTGCATCACCAGACACGGTATGCCAGCAACGGCAAAAAACACAACTGGACAACACAGGACGCACCCCCGGCCAAACCAATCAAGCATCAATACCCCAAGAACCCTCCGGAAAGCAGCCGACTTGACTGTCACCAGGACAGAGAAAGCCTGCACATGTACAAATCTACCACCAGTACCAAAGAGCAGAAACCTGAACCGAAGGGGCTACCACAAACTGAGGAGAAGATAAGAAGGCACCCTGATCAAGGACCAGGACGGCTCAGGCGACGCATGAGCAGGCCGGAGGCGAAACAAAACACGAGAAAACGTACAAAACGTCATACTGTCGCCAAGACGAAGCTCGCAGGTGGGACACCGTCAACAAAGCCACCAGAACACCATAGAGATGGTGAAACCCGCGTCAAAATACCAGACGAGAAGAGCTGAGGAGAAGGCCAAACCAGTCACGTACAGGACCAATTCGACCTGCCGAAAGAGGCAGAGTCGCGGGAAAACGCCCCGGGTTCGGACACTTATCAAGCAGCGTCTGAAAATAAGGCTGGGCCGGCCACCAAGGAACCATAAGGACTGCTCTCGTGGGAGTGGGCTGCAACCAAGCCAGAACCCCAAGCAACAGCTGGACCGGGAGAAGAAGAACAGGTACCCCCACCTCGACCAGTCCTGCCGAAAAGCATCCACCGTGAATGCCTCGTAGGTGGGAAAGGACGCCTGACTCGAAGATGTCCATGGCCAGGAGTCCATACGTCTGACAGAGCCAAAAAAATGAGTCGGTGACGACTGGCCAATCCGCGAAGAGAGGAATGAACCGAGACAGCTGTCCGCCAGGACGCAGGACACACCCCAGACATCAACCTCACGGTTATCCAAACCCCTGTGGTTCTGGCAAGAACCGCCAGAGAACAGTCCAAACAGAGCTGAATAAGCCCTAAACAAGATCCAGCCAGGTCCAAACCCGGGAAGGAAACAAATAGAATGGACTCCAGATCACCAGGAAACCGAACCCGGCGATCTGGAAAGAACCACACCCCTGGCGAGCAGACAAGAGGACCAACTGGGAGCCCACACCAGCCAGTCGTCGAGGTAGGCCAGACACCGAATCTCAAGCAGACTCAGACAGGGCACCAAGATCCGGTAAAGATGCGTAAATACACCAAGTGCCAATTCCAAAATAGGGAAGGCAACAAAAGCGGCAAGACTGAAGCCCCACCACCAAGTGTGCCAGTCCCGGAAAACTGGAGAAGAACGTGTCAAGAGTTGACCTTGAGGTCCAGATCCAGGCACCCGTTCCCAACAGAAGTCGGACAGGAGACAACAGTCCTCCGATGAGGGCATAGACTCCAGGGCGCAGACTGAAGAAGTTCAGAAGAACCGCAGAGTCGAAAAACCCGTGTCTGCATAGAGCAGACGGGAACCCCAGAAGGATGGGGCGGATCGACCACGTCCAACGCACCCACTAAGATGACACAACGAAGCGCAGGGGAAGACGCCCACCCCGCCAGCCCTGAACCCCCCAAAGGGGGAGAAGCCATCTGCCGCCGCCACCAGAGGCCGGAAGACAACCAAAAGCGCCCACTAACTGCGGGACCATGGGAGAGTCAACAGAGCAAGCTGCTCCCCCAGCGCCCCGTCAACAGAGAAGGGATCAGCCAGGAAGACCCCGGAACCCAATAAGGCACAACCGGATCACACACGAGGAAACAAAGCCCCCTGAACCCACAAAGGGGGCCCAAGAGGAAGAAACCTCCGGAACGAAACCAAAGAACCCAAAGGAACCCGGAATCGAAGCAGGGGGGGGGGGAGCCCAAACCACCACATTTGCCAGCAGAGATACACCACAGAAAGGCAAAGCACAGCCCGCGGACAGAACTCCTAGGGAAACGGTCAAAACAGACCAAAAACCGAGGGACAAGGTGTGGGAGCAAGCATAAACAGACAGGAACACTGAGTCCAAACACTAGGGCCCAGACACAAAACAGACAAAACGGAAAACCCCATGTAAAATCAACACTTAAACGTTTCCATAGGAACAGAAAATGGGCAGAAAACACCAGAAAGCAAAGAAACGATAACAGGAGAATAAAAAATCCCTGAAAAAGGTGAAAAAACTTACCCAAAACGCTCGCTCGCACACCCAAGCGCATGTAAACAAACTGCAACGCCGCCCTCGTGGCCACACCGAGAAACAGGCAGAAGAAAATGGCCACCAGAACAGAGGGCTGAGACCGACGCAAAAGATACGAAAACACGCCAGCAAAAGTGGGAAGCAAGCAGACCGGATGGGCGAAAAACTAAGCCCTGAAGCAGAAAACCCAGGCAGGGGCATGCCACCCCAGAACTGCTAGCAGGCATCCCCCACAGCCCCGGGAACCCGCAACAGTGGCCCTGGGGCAGAGCCATCCTCCAAACCCTCCGCCCTTAAAGAAAAGGAAGAGTCCATGGGAAAGGCAGCAAGAAAGGGCCGCTGGTAAGACCCAGAAAGCCTTGGCAGGAGCAACAGGCTTGAAAACCTCCATCCCCAACCCTAACGGGGCAGCTCCCGAAACCGCCCGAGTCTCGGCCCCAACTAAACCCCGCCCCGACCCTGAAACCCGCAGGCGGTCCGGAGCCGGGAACAGGGAGGGAAAGGGGCGAACAGCACCTAACCAAAACAGGGCAGCCCTGGGGCATCCGAGTGGGAAACCACCCTAGCATGTTGCAGCAACCTAACCTAGCTTGCAACACGGATGCCGCCTGTACTCTGAACAGTAATAACATCAGGAAAGGACTGGAGAACAAGCAGAGAATCTCTTGCAAGACTCCGGGTCAAGGTATCAATGACCCAACAGGCAACATGACGGAGGTAAAAGTGGAGACTGTCACCCGGAGACAAGGGTACAGCAACCAACGATCCAGTACAAGATGGGTTGGAACCCGAAAGACACATTCAATGGTTCACCGAGCCCCGACAGGGGTTTCCAGGGCCCGTAGGGGTAACAACTACGGGAAGCCCGGGCAAGGTGTTGCTAACCGGTTAAATACCCAAAAATAACAAGGGGTAGAGGACAGCACTGAAAGTCCCTGCGACGTTTACAATCACGGGGGCCTAGCAAAGGGCCACCAAACACTACCAGTGGAACTATAGCCACACTAGGCAGACCCCCACCAGGCAAATGAAAATAAAAACAAAAGAAAACCCCCGCAAAAGTACACCGTCTCCAGAGGCAACAGGAACCGGTCGCCGCTTAGGTGGCAGGTCACGCAACACCTTGATGCCCCCAACCAGCACAATACCAGTCCCAACCCAGGGCCAAACAAGGGCCCCAAGCCCCAGCTGGCCCCAAGGGCGAGGCAAATGCCGAGCAGCAAGGACCTCTACAGGAATGGTTCCCGAACGCCCCAGGGAAGATAACCCTGTCAAGCAGGGACAGTACTCACAAGACGCTTAGGGAAGGAAGCCCCTAAGCGCATGCAGCCCCGGCACTGATGAAGAACACCTGGCCACCACACAACACAACACACGGCAGTGAACGCCACACAAGGCAAACACCGCCTAGGAAACTGAGGCCAGAGAAGCGTCTATACCTGTTGACATTAGCTTACGAACTGAAGTTAGGCAGCTGGCATGGTGAGGTCCGGGGCTCCCCCCTCCCCCTCTCGCGGCGGGGAAGGCTGCGCGGACGATCGGCGCGGCAGTAAAGTGTGATGTTTGCTTGTTTGCTTGTTTCCTTGGGATTGTAGGGAGTTTCTACCTCTCTGTTCGTTTTTTTTTTGTTTTAGTTTTTTACCATGTGGGGTTTGTTTTGTTATGCCTACCTTTCTGGGTGCCTAACCCCGGTCGATGGCAGATAAGGAAAACCCCCAACCACAAGAGGTTTTTCCAGGGCCATTGCTCCCTGAAACCTCTCTGAAGGGGCCAGGTTCTGGCGCTGGTCCCTGGTAGGTCTGAACTCCTTAGCTAATGTCCCGGTCTAATATAACATACATTAGCCTGATAAACTCCAGGGAGCCGTAGGGGCTCCCCACAGAAAAGGCCGTTAAATTGAGTGGATACTGTATAACATTCCAAGTATTTCATAGAACAAAACAAATTCATATGAAACTGTTAAGCCTAACCTGGTTAAGTTGTCCCTTCACAATAAATGGCCCAAATGAGAAGGCAAACACTGCTATTACTGTTGTTCCAAGCTTAACCAGCCGAAGCACTGAGAGTGACTGCCACCGTACGTGCCCTTCGAGGGTTGAGGAGAGGCAGTAGGAACGCAAGAGGTACACGAAGTATGCTGGTGCAACATATAGGTAAATGTGTTTCAGGTTCAGCAGAACAGAAAACCAGAGTGCGGCTTCAATTTCCCGTCTCTGTGGAATAAGAAGCTAAGTAATTTTCCATCATAAGTAACAGGATGTATTTTAACATAAACTTTAAAGACTGATCTGCAAGGTTTTTGCTTTACACATGAGTCACAGGAGCTGACTGCATTTAATGACCATAGTAGACACTCATTTATTATCTAGACCAATAGTATCAAAAGTTACTGGAACAAACAATATCAAAAAGTTACTGGAATATCAAAACAGATGATGAATATGATTTTATAAATGCTTATTGTTTATGATACACTTGTAATTTTGGCATGAAAAATAGCATTGAATGAAATAAAAATGCCACTCTGTTAGTGCTTCAGTGGCTCCCTGTTGCTAGCTGCCTGAGAATGCTCCACACATTCCAAAAAACCAGCGTTGAATGTAATGAAACGCCATTTTCTGGGTGAGCCCCGGAGGCTCCCTGGAGCTTATCGGGCTAATGTATGTTATGTTAGACCGGGACATTAGCTATGGAGTTCAGACCTACCAGGGACCAGCGCCAGAACCTGGCCCCTTCAGAGAGGTTTCAGGGAGCAATGGCCCTGGAAAACCCCATATGGTTGGGGGTTTTCCTTATCTGCCATCGACCGGGGTTAGGCACCCAGAAAGGTAGGCGTAACAAAACAAACCCCACATGGTAAGAAACTACAACAAAAACCTAACAGAGAGGTAGAAAACTCCCTACAATCCCAAGGAAAACAATCAAACAATCAATTTACTGCTGCGCCGGTTGTCCGCGCAGCCCTCCCCTCCCCGGGAGGAGGGGAGAATAACGATAATATTATAACGACACCAAATAACGGGCGGCCAGGACCCTGTTCGACTTCCAAAATCCACGCGCCCGAATATGTGCCCAAGACATATTACCAAACACGGCAGCCAAAGCCGCAAACTTCCTAACGTCATGGGTGCGAGGATAGACCGCAGGCTGGCTAGATTTAATAACCCTGCGGACAACCTGGGAGACCCGAGCCCTGGAACAGGGAACGAGGGAAACCGGATCAACCCAAAGCGCATCCCCAGCCACCCCGGCTGAAGCGCGCAGGTAACGGCGAAGTGCTGCAACAGGACACAACACTTGATGCACCCCCGGCCGAACCAACCAAGCATCAATGACCCACGGACCCACCGGAAAGCAGCCGTCTCGTTCTTCGCCAGAAAGGACGGAGAAGGCTGCAAACGGACAAACCTACCCCCAGGACCAAAAGAGCAGAAACCCCTGCGCCGGAGGAGAGCATGAAGCTCCCCTACCTGGCCCCCAGAGGCCAATGCCAACAAAAACAAAGCCTTGGAAAAACAATCAGGAACCGAAGGGGCCACCACAAACTGAGGAGAGGAAAGATAGGAGAGCACCCTGTCCAAGGACCAGGACGGCTCAGGAGGCGCATGAGCAGGCCGGTGGTGAAACATAGCACGGGAAAGCTTACGAAATGGGGCGGATGTGACGTCCACCCCGAAAGCGAGCTGGAGCGGCTCCGCCAGCGCCGCACGATACGAGGCGACAGTATTAGGCATCAAATGACGGTCCTGAAAAAGCCAAGTAAGGAAGGACAAAACAACCCGATCCGAAAGAAAAGACAACCTACGAAGAGCCATAAAATGGCGAAAAGAACGCCAGGAAACTTCATACTGTTGCCTAGACGAAGCTCTCGGTGGGACACCATCAAAGAAGCCACCTGATCACCATAGAAATGGTGATACACCCGCGTCAAAAAGACCAGATGCGAAGAGCAGAGGAGAAGGTCGAACCAGCCCCGTACAGGATCGGCCCGACCTGCTGAAAGAGGCGGAGCCGCAGGAAACGTCCCAGGTTCGGGCACCGAGCCAAAAGCACCGGAAACCAAGGCTGGGCCGGCCACCAAGGGACCACGAGGACTACTCTCCCCGGGAATGTCTCTAACCGAACCAGAACCCGAAGCAATAGCTGGACCGGAGGAAAGAGGTACAGGTAACCCCACCTCGACCAGTCCTGCCGAAAGACATCCACCGCGAACGCCTCGCAGTCGGGGAAGGGCGTCACATATATAGGGAGACGCCGGGACCACGCCGATGCGAAGAGGTCCACATCTGGGAGACCGTACGTCTGGCAGATCCAACGAAACGAGTCTTCGTCAACCGTCAACTCCGTGGACAGGGGAAGGAAGCGAGACAGACCGTCCACCAGAACGTTGGACACTCCCCGGACGTGAACCGCACGGAGAGCCAAACGCCGAGAATCCAGCAGATGAACCACTCGAAGGGACCAACCCCAAAGAGCCAAGGACTGAGGAGAACCCCCGCGGTTCAGGCAATGAACCACTGGAGAACAGTCTGAATGGAGGCGAATGGTCGATCCCCAAGCGACCCGAATCCTCTGAAGCGTGAACCAGACAGCCGCGAACTCCCGAACCGTGCTGTGAGCCCGATGGAAGGACGGACCCCACCGTCCCTGGCCTGCCTGGTGAGCACTGGTCACAAAGCCCCAGCCGAGAGACGACGCGTCCGTGAACACATCGAGCGAGGGCTCGGGAAGGCGCCAAGGCACCAAACCCCGAAAAGCCCGAAGAGGAAGTCGGTGACGCAGCAACCGACATAAGACCCCCAGAGGGCGAACCCAACGATCGCGAGACAGGCGGAAAGGACATCCCGAAGGAACCAAAACAGACGCCAAAGCCAAACCCGACCCGGCGGGTAGACTAGTATGGCGAAGTTCAGACTCCCGTACAACCGCTCGAGCAACCGCCGAGTGACCCGGGACCCCCTCAGAAACAGCAAACGGCAGTCCCGCAGCCGCCGCAACGCCGCTGGAGTGAGAGACAAGAAAGCGGTCCGAGAATTCCAAACAAGACCCAGCCAGGTCCGAACTTGGGACGGAACCAGATGGGACTTCCTCCAGTTCACCAGGAACCCAAACCTTGCGAGCTGGGAAAGAACCATATCCCTGGCAAGCAGACAAGCTGACCGACTGGGAGCCCACACCAGCCAGTCGTCGAGGTAGGCCAAAACCCGAATCCCTAGAAGACGCAGACGGGTCACCACAACCCGGGTCAGACGCGTGAAAACGCGAGGTGCCAGATTCAAGCCAAAAGGTAGGCATCAAAACGGTAAGCGTGACGCCCCACCACGAAACCTAACCAGTCTTTGAACCCCGGATGAATAGGAACATGCCAATACGCGTCCTTGAGGTCCAGGGACACCATCCAGGCACCCGGCTCCAACAGAAGCCGGACCTGAGACAGAGTAGTCATCCGAAAGGAGGGGCAAGGAATCCAGGGGTTCAGACGGGACAAGTCCAGAATGAACCTCAGATCCGCACAGTCCCGTTTCGGCACTGGAAAATGGCGGGAAACCCACCTGAGGGACGTAGTCGTTTCAACCACGCCCAAGCGCACCCACTCCAAGATGACTTGACGAAGCGCAGGAGAAGAAACCTGCCCTGTTAGCCCCGAACCCCCCAAAGGAGGACGAGTCGCCCAACGCCACCGCAGGCCGGATGACATGACCGAAAAGGCCCACAAATTGTGGGACCAAGCGTGGGCAAACAGAGCGAGCCTCCCCCCCATCGCCCCGTCAACGGGGCAAACCGCGAAAGGGCCGACACCCCTTACGAGAACCCAACCGTCGAACAGGGCGATCACTGCGCCAACCAGACGACACTGGCCCCGAAGGGAACAACGGCTCAGAAACTGGCACCAATGGCCCACCTCGACCAGCGGAACCCGAAACCCTGGCACGACCCCTCCGAAACTGCCGAGAATGACTGCTCCGGAGAATCAACAAGTCCGCCATAGGACGACAACTAGACGAAGCCGCATGCAGAAACTGGGACACCGCAGACTCTGCAAACAGCAATGGACAAAACGGAGACGAAAACCTAAGAGCCAGGGCCCAAGCGGATTCCAAAGAGAGGGCGAGCACAGCCTGACGGCACGCGAGGCGAGAAGCAAAAAACAGAGACACCGCTTCCTTCAGGATGGGCGCAAAGAGCTTCAACAGTGCAGCTGACGCCCTAGCTGCCGAAGACAACGCCCCGGACGAAGGCCCTTCACTCAACGCTCCCACATCCTCCTCAAGCCAAGCAGAATAGAGCTCGAGAAGGGAAAAGAAACGCAAGACCGAAGCCAAATGCCCACGGGAGTGCAACTCCTCCGCAACCAAGGAAGCCGAAAGCTGAGGAACCTGCACGTGAAGCTGGAAAAGGCCAACATCCCGAGAAAGCACAGGAGCGAATAAGCACGCATTAAGGTGCTCAAACTCGCCCCCCAGGTAAACCTGCATAAAAGTAGAAGTCTCCCGCCAATCAAGCGTGCGGGTCCGACAGAACCCATGCCACGCTCCCAACGAAAAAAAAGGGCAGTCTGCAAGCCAGGAAGACTCCGGAACCTCCAAACGCACCCAAAAACGGGAAGAAAAACCGAACTCAAACGAGGACGGATCCATTGGGGAGGCATAACCCGGGTCTCGCAAGAGGTATGCAGCAAGAGCTTCCCGCGCCACCTTTGCGGAGAGACGGGAAGTAGCAAACCCCTGGAAAGACGGAGCCGAGGTACCCAAAGGCGCCCGGAACCGAACCGGGGAGGAGCCGAACCCAAATCATACTCATACAGGAAAGGAGGGTTAGAAAACCCCTCCCCCTGCAACAATAAACCCCGTGGGGAAGGCAAAAGCACCCAAGCGGGGTTACAGGGGGCCCAAGGCCCCCAGGCCAACTCCTCCCCAGACCCAGGATCCCCTACGTTGGGACCCGGGGCAGAGCCGTCCTCCAAACCCTCTACCCCTGAAGAAAAGGTAGAGTCCAAGGGAAAGGCAGACAAGAAGGGGGTCTGCTGGTGGGACCCAGAAGCCTCGGCAGGAGGAACCGGCTCAAATGCCTCCGTCCCCGACCCGGATGGGGCAGCCCCCGAAGCAGCCCGAGTCTCACCACCAACTAAATCCTGTGCCAAGGCTGAAATCCGCATAAGTTTCGAAGCCGGACACAGGGGGGGAGGTGCAGGAAGAACCACAGGGGAAGGACC